TAAACACAGCTGAGCTTCAAACGGACACCAGGCTGTGCTTGGTCATCAACCAAGTAGGAGATTAAACAAGCTACCCTGTGCCTCCGGAGGGTGAGGAGCCAAAAGATGCATTTATCACCTCTGAATCACAGGGAGGCCTGCTTTGAAACAAGAATTTCCTCTTCGTAACTATTTTAAATAGGCAATTAGGAGGTGATTGAGAGGAGCTAAGAAAGGAGGGCCTAGGACTGCTAGGAGCCGTGTACTGAGTCATGCCAGAGTAATTTGTATCCACTGAAATAAAGGTGAACAAAAGTCCTTCAAAAATAAAGTTTGGTTTTGACAATAGATAGAAGTATCTATATACATAGAAGGGAGCAGTCACCTACTTACTGGACTTAAGAAACACCAAAAATTCAATAAACATGCTTCTACAATACAAATCTAGCAAATTCAGCCTTTGTAATTTCAACAGGTTATTATTAATAAGCAAAATTTCACTGAAATAGATAAACATAGAAGCTTTTAGAGCCCTAAGATATTTATTAATCCATTTATTGATTTGTCAAATATTTTAACACCTGCCATTCTAGGCTTAGGGAGTAGAAAGGAGAAAAAAAGTCCCTCCTCTCATGAAATTTACATGCTATTGAGGCAAGAGACAAAGATATCAAATGTCAGTGCGTAGCAGGTATAAATAGAGAAATAAAAACAGGGTGAGGGTGGTCATGGTGGTGATGAGCAGGAGAACAGTTTTATATTGGATGGTTAGGAAGGCCTCTCAGAAAAGGAGACATTGGAGGTCTGAAGTTGAGGGAACAAGCCAAGCAAATGCATCTGGGGAAAGAGGGAGCCAGAGAGAGGAACGGTGAATGCCAAGCCCTGAAGGCAGGAGAATGCTTGACGTGCTCTCTATCCAGCAAGTTTCTGGTGTGGCTGGAGTGAGACCGGAGGCTTACAGGGGGTGGGGAAGGTGGGTCACAAAGTGAAGCCAAGTGAAGAGAGTATTTTAAAAAGGAAGGAGTGACTCTCAATGCTGCTGATCAGTCAAGGAAGTTAAGAACCAAGAATTTAACATTTGATTTGACAACTTGTAAGTCATTACCTTGACAAAGGAAGTTTCTACAGAGAAGTGGAGAAAGTGTGACTGGGATGGTGAAGATTTGGAGAGGGAGATTCAGAGAGAGAGAGAGAGTGCAAACGACCCCTTCAAGAGTTTCCTTGAAGAGAAATGAGAAAGTGATTGGAAACTCAAGGAAAGGGTTCCTTAAAGGAAAATTGTTTCAACATGTTTGTTTCTTGCTGGTGATCCCATAAAGGGAGAGGGCTGGGAGAAAAAGGAGGAGAATTGTGGAAACAGGGTCATTTGGAACATGGTAGGGATGGGATGCAATGGTCAATTGAAGATGATGATTGCTTTAGATAAAACCGCTGGGTGTAGTTCTTAGTTGTATTACTTGGTCAAATTACCAGGCTCTTTGAGTGCTGATGATAAAGTTTCATCGACCACTTAGAGCGCACCAGACACTGTTTCAATCACTTGACATATGCTTTGTCTTGTCTTCAAACAACTCTATGAATAAAACTGAACCCACAATTTATTCATTTATTTAATCCCTGAACAAATATTTAATAAGAGGCCACTGTGTTCCAAACACTATACTAACTGCTGGGGAACAAAGAGTGAACAATAAAATCATCAGATAAGGGTTGTGGAATGTTCATGATGTACTAGGTGTTCTGCTAATAACTCTGTAATTATTATGTCCTTTACTTCTCAACCCAGGAATTTGGTATTTTTGTCCACATTTTATAGACCAGAAAACTGAGGTCTAGAGAAGTTAAATAACATCTAGGAGAACACATCAACAATCCAAAGTCAGACTGCATGATTTCAGTGTGTTACCTGCATGCTCCCCACCCTCTATATTATACTAAATGATCCTTTACATCTGCATTACTGAGATAGACAAAAGTCATGTGGATAAAATAATAAATAAATAAGAAAAGAATTGCAATGTGCCAAGTACAAGAGAACCACTGGGTACTAATCAGAAAATGATAGATTAATGGGTTGAGAAAATCTGTAAAAATCAGTTGTCAGGGAAAGCTACTTACTAAGGAAGAAACATTTTAGCTGAGACCTAAGGATAAGAAATAACTGAATGAGGGTGGGGAAAAACATCTGGGTCAAGAGAAGAGAAGCAAATACAAAGGCCCTGAAGCAGGAAAAAGCTTTACAGGCTCAAGGAATGAAAACAGAATCAATCTGACTGGATCCCATTGGAAGAATGTGAGTGACTTGAGATGAGTTGAGGAAGTTGGGAGGGCTCCAATTATGCAGGGACTCAGAGGCCCAAAAAAGGAGAATTTAAATCGCATTCTAAATTTAATGAGAAGTCACTGAAAATTTTTAATCAGGAGAAGACATACCAGATTCACATGCGGAATAACTCTTACACCATGCAGCAGATTAATTAGAAATATTGGTGGGAAGGGTGGTATGCATAGTAGAAGCAGGGAGACCAATTGTCAGGCTGTGTAGTTATAACTCAGAAGAGAGATAATAGTGATAGATGGACATGGAGAGAAGTTGGAGATGGCATTAATAGGATTTGGTAATGAAATGGATGCAAAGGAGGAGATGAAGAAAGTATAACCCCTGGGTTTTTGGCTTGAAGAGCTGGGCACATGGTGAATCCATTTATTGACATGGGGAAACTTAAGGGCTGGGTTAGCAGATGGATTTGGGAAGAATCAAGAATTCTCTTTGGGGTAAATTTTGTTAGAAATATTAGAGAGCTGAATGTTGGAGTCCATGGGAGAACTCTGGGCTATAGACATAAACTGGAGAGTCAGTGGTGTAAAGATATTAAAATTATGGGTATGGTGAGGATTTAATAATGTGTGTAACTGTTGAACCACTGTGTTGTATACTTGAAATAAATATAAGATTGCATATCAGCTATGCTTAAATAAAAAAATACACACCCTTATCACCTACAATGTACTCTAATAAATTTCTAGTCTTAGTCTATTCCATTTAAAAAAATGAACTCATAGAGAAGAGTATCATGTATTGTAGATAATACTAAAAGGAGAATACTTAGAATTCCTAGTAAAGTGAAAGAAAATGAATTCCTAGACAAAGTGAAGGAAAATGGGGATCATAAGTAGACAAACAGACACAATAATCAATCATGTAAAAGGGCACTACCTCTTCATTATAAGGAGAAGCAGTAAGAAACAGGTGCAAATAAAAAAGAAAGCCAAAGTCTGAATCCAGGTCTGTCTACACCACAGCAGCAGCACGGCCGTTGAAAAACGCTTTTTAGACCTGTTTTCACTTGCTGAGCAGGGTCTCTGCTGATCCTGGACAGTCACCACGTTCTCCGAGCAAAACTGGCCATAGCTTTGCCCGCGCTTGGCTAGAGACACCCTGCCCGCACCCCCTCCTAGGTCACAGCTCAGACACATCAGCAAGGACAGAAGGACGAGGAGGACAGCCGCCCTCGGCCAGAGAGGAAGGTCAGCCGGGCGGGCGGGAGAGAGCCTTTCCCGCCTGGTTCTCCTTCTCCTGCCATTTCATGTGATTAATTCAAACTCTAAATATTTAGCAGTTCTGGGCTTAAAACTTCGGATCAGCGACTGTAGCTCATATCCAACTTGGAAACTGTTTCAGACTATTTTTTTTCCAAAATCCTTGTTATAAAAATGCTTTTCCCCCTCTCGGTGCCCCTCGCCTCAGCTCTCCCCCTTCTGTGCCATTCTTCCTGGGCGGCCCCCACCATTTTCCCCAAGACGACCTCACACCTCTCCTCCCCACTTGCTGCCTGTCCTCTTCTTTGCCCCCTACACTGACTGATCATTTTCTAATGAAGAAGTGTGCTTCCCACCACGTTTCCCAGGCTCAGATCCCGTGTCCCGCATGACGGTGTCAGGCATGTGTCACATCTTGTTTTCCGGAGCGGTTTCCATAGCTGCCACAGAAAGGCCTTAAATTAAAAAGTTCTAACTTCTCAACCTAATTCTGTTTGAAAATCCACATAAATACAGTTTCCTTCCCTCCAAACAATTTCAGGAACAGCTTTTTTATAATTCTAATTCATAACTGATGCTACTCTCCGCCCTCCTGCTTGTCCTCGGCTATTATCTTTCAACTCATTTTGCTCAGTCAGTTCCACCCACTCCTCATCATTCTTCTCAGAAATCCTGTCAAAAAATTCAATTTGCTACTTCCTCTATGAAAGTGACTTATCCAGCAAGTCTTCCCTTTTATGGAAGAGAAATGAAGGTAGGAATAAGCCCTCCTCTGCTGATGCTTAACATAGGCGTGACTGAATTTCTAACACAAGTTCTCTGTCTGTCATTTTACATAATTTACCAAAACTGCTGCACCTCCATCAGACCACATTAAAATGGGAATGTTCATTATAATTCAAGAGCACTTGCTGAATTATATATTAATTTGTTCGCTGAAAGCATTTACTTTTAGGGTAATGTGATTATAACGAATGCTGTTGAAGGAGAGGCCTTATATATGCTCAAAGCTAAATCTGAGACAAAGAGACCCAGAAATAAAAAAAAGATTTTAGACCTGAAGGAAGGGAACTCTGGGTCTGAGATTTTCTATCAGCTTAATTACGGCTGTGGGTGACAGGTATGTAGTCCACCTGGGGGAAAGGAGGATAAACATGTTGTCAATATTGGGAAGTTATACCCCAAATCTTGGAATCAGAGATTGCCCTCCGAAAACAATTTAAATTATGAAGTCAACACTTAGAGGTGGAAGTTCTTCCTACAGTTAGCAGCCATTCCCCTAAACAATAACTTGTAAGTAGGAAGCAGAAGATTCTCCTCTGATTATGTGAACAGTGTAGATTGAATTGGGACTCTCAGTACTGAAAACTGTGACATTAATATTTGTCCTCATATATCTAAAGAAGAGAACAAAAAGAAGAAGGAACCTATAGACAGAGTCCTCACACTTCCTGTCACAGTGACTTCCAAGGTTCATGCAAAGGATTTCAAGAGTTTCTGCTTCCAGTAGGAAGCTCCGCACAGAGCGTTGAAACTTAGCAACTGCTTTAAATTTACATCTTGATGCAATCTCAGACTGACCAAAAAGCTTCAAGAAAAGTACAAAGAATTGTCAATTTTCACCCAAATGTTATGTTAATATTTTGATTGCTTTACCCTTTCTTTCTTTCTCTCTGTGATTTTTTGTATGAATTATGTGACTAAGTTGCAGGCATAATGTCCCTTTACCCCTAAATACTTGAGGGTGCATTTCTTATCTAGCCATGATACAATTATCAAAATCAGGGAATTAACACTGGTTCATTCTGTAGACCTTATTTAGATTTCACCAATTATTCCAGCAATGTCCTTTATAACAACCACAAAAATCAAAGATCAAGCATTGATTCTGCTGTCATGTTTCATAAGCCACCTTTTTATCTGAAACTGTTCCTCAGACTTTCATGACAGTGGCATATCACTTACTTGACAGAATGGCCCTAATTTGGGTTTGTCTGATGTTTCCTTACAATTAGATTAGCTTCATGCTTTTTGTCCAGAACATCTGTGTTCTTGTCTTCTTAGTGATTGTGTCAAGAGGCACAAATGTCAATTTGCCCTATTTTTGGTGATGTTAGCTTTAACCACTCTGTTAAGATATTTTCAGTCACTGTAAAGATTTTATTTTTCCCTTTATAATTAATAAGTACTTGGTGGGGAGCCACTTTAATACTATGTAAATACCCTGTTACTACTCAAACTTACCCACACCAGAGAGCATTTAATAGAGACTCCTGCCTGAATGAATTATTATTATTATGGTTGTCAAAGGGTCATTTTCAAATTCCATCATTTCATCATTAACTAGTTGGCTTCAACTACAAGGAAGACCTTTCCCTCATTGTAAGGTAAAATTGAGCCGAAATGGCCAGGCAAGGAGGCTACAAAGGAGCCAAAAGTTTAATAGGGCGCAATCCCGGGTGGTGTTCTCAGGTCTGGTTAGTCACAGGCTGGGGAAGTCGCGCCAGGCAGGGCAGGCAGCGAGTTTCTAAAGAAGGTAGGGGGAGGCAGAGCATAGATTTACAGCCCGAGGATTGGCTAGCCTAAGGCACCTTTTTCAGGTTGGGAGGGGGCAGCAGCCCGGGGACTTTGGCACGTCATCAGTGTCCGGCGTGCTCACCCCTCCCTCCGGTGCCTCCAGCCTTACACTCATGCCCTGCGATTTTATTTATTTATATATATTATCAACTCATATAATAGATTCCAATAACATATATATATATGTTTATATACATATATATATATATAATGGATTATAATTCTTCACTATCACTATTTTTATACGTCAATTGAAACAGATTTAGCCACAAACTGGTGACTTTAATTCAGATTTTTGGCTTCTAGTGAAAAATCAGTGTTCTGATGAAACTAAGGTAAAACGATTCCATGGATCCAAGAAGACAAACAAATGTAGGCAGGCCTGCCTTCTCTGATGTCCCAATTCCCTTCCTGGCTGCCTTTACTCATTTTATTATCTAACCTGGCATTTATGTTTCTGACTCTTTTATAAAAGGACTTTTCATGAACTGATGTAAATTCTTTTTATTTTGATTTTAACCTCTCCAAAGCAACTCTCTGATTATGATTCTCATGTAGATTATCTACAGGAAAAGCATGAGCTAAACATATAAGTTTTTAGTTCCTCCAGTCTCATTAACCGTTATTTCTTACAGTAAGTTTTAAATTGGCATTTTGGTGTCTACCTAAGTCCTGTTTGGATTTCAGTTAATGCTTCTTATTCTCTCATGATCTTTTTAGACCTGGACACCAACAGGAATGTTTCTTTGGCCTTCAAAGCAGAAGACAAGTTCCAGAGCAGCCAGTCAAGGCGCTGCCTGGCCTTCTCCGTCCAATCAGGTTTCCATTAGACCGCACTGGAATCACTTCCCTTGCCAAATTAGCAGAGTGAATGCAAAGCAAGACTAAGTACAAAGGGGATGTTCATGGAGAGCTAACAGCAGAGGCAGGCAGAAGTGATGACATAAATGGAAGATGATTTGTCATCCAAGCAAGCAACCGGTAGGAAAAGACTAGACAAGAAAATCATGGAAGACAGGCTAGAAGCAGTGAAGTGATCAGAAATGTTGATCAAAAAATGAGGTGGGGAAAAAAAACCTAAAGAGTGGTTAAGATAAAGCAAGCAAACAAGCAAGTCAAATTGCCCAGGTTTCTTCTTGCGATATAAGTTGTAGCTAAATGGTTTATGAATCAAGGGCGCTTTTTGCAACAGCTCTGTTTAGGGTAAAGAGACTCCGAGCTGAGCTGTATGGGGATCTTTAGCTGGACGTGTCAGACATAAAAGTTGTTTACAAATCTGGTGCCATTTTTTAATCTATTCAAAGTGTCTTACAATTCAAATTGACTACGATTACAATTAAAATCTACAATTTAATATGTGTATGTCAAAAAAACCTTAATTTCAAAGTATAGAATTTTGAACTTTGTAATCAAGTAGTCTTATTTATATAGTCTATTATTCATAAGATAGGTATATTTATTTATAATATATAATATATATATTTATATTCGTATAATATATAGCCGACTATTTATCATTTATTGCTTAAGTGCTGAAAGGGAGATTATAAATCTGTGGAAGCCATGAACCAGGATGTTAAAATTGGTTTCTTATGTAGTCTGATCTTGAGATAATACTGCTAATGTGGAATTTGTAGATGGCATGGAATATCACTAAATCATAGGTGTCTTAGCATTATGGTTGCTCTAAGAAGGCAACGTTGTCATTTATAGGGTAGATACAACAAAAAAGAAAGAACAGAAAAACCCAAGTTAAAGTATTAGAAGTTTTGTGTGTTTTTTTTTTAAGAAACAACATACACAACATACATTTGCATTCACTAATATACTGAGGAGAGTGGACTAAACCTAAATTTGACAACAATGGCTCTCCAAGGGGATCGTTTGTGGAGAGCGAAGCCTGGCGGAGGAGCCGCCCGAGGACACACCCCGGGAGCAGCAGCAGGGTCCCCGCCCCCGGCCCCCGGCTACCGAGCCGGCTGTGCTGGAATTCCCCTGGGGCCCGGGCCTCTTCCACAGTCCGGACTCCACCTTCCAGGGAACCTGACCCAGCGAATCTGGGGCTGAGTTGGATTTCAGGCATTTTTAAAACTCTTTGAATGTCATTTAAACTCTTACTTATAAAAGCTTATAGTGTGGGTTTAAGGATGTGAGGAAATTTCAGATTAAACAACTGGTCGCCAGATTTGGTTGATTTATAAAATAAAGTTGTTGGGTAAGAATATTAAAGGAATTCGACTATATTAAACAGCAAAAGAAAAGCCTAAGCACTGAGAAATGTCTGGTTTTATCTTTCGCTTTTTCCCCTGCACACTTTTCCATCTTCCTGATCCAGGCCTTAGAAAAATGAACCATTCATTATTATTTTCTAATGTAGTAATTTTTTTTCTGAATAGGTTGAATGTAGAGAGTGAAACTGAATACAGTCATTTATCAACAGCCCAAGTGACCTTTAAACATTTATAAGGCACACAAACATGTTTCAATATTGCCTTGTATATCAAGTGGTAAAATAACCAAGGTATCCCTTAAACATTGAACTATGCAATTTTATATCAGAATTTCCTGGAGCCTGATTCTAAGCCTATTTTAAGCCTCTAAACAATGTGACTCAAAAATGACAAATAGTATTTGAAGGGCCCCCACCCGTAAGATGGGGAACCTCCTGCTTCTCTTCCGGGTCTTCGGTTCCCACCGGCGCCACCTGAAGCCCAATCACCTCTCGCTCCCCTCCCAATCCCAGCACCTAGCCAACAGCTACCAGCCCCGTAGAAGTGACACCTCAATCAGCTCATGCCCCTTCCTATATAACCCAGCACCTTTCCCTAATAAAGCGGAATTCTCCGGTGAATTGCAGCTGTGTGTCGCTCCTTTCCTTTCATTGGCGCCGAAACCCGGGAGACGGGACACCCCAACAGGGCCCCGTCTTCCCCCAACACCAGAGGCAGCTTGCCCTCATCCTTTTTTTCCGGCGCTGGCTCCTCACACTCACCACTCCTCTTTGGCCTTTGGGTAAGTTTTCCCCAAGAGCAGGCCGCTCTTCCCCGAGCTATCGCAGCGCCATTGACCGTGATCGTCCAGCAAGGCCCTGACGCTCGGGGATGAGGAGGGAACTCTCCCCACCTCAGGCCTTCATGGCTGCGGCGGACCCTCAGGCCCCTCCTCCAACAGCCATAAATGAGGTGACTCCCCTGTGAATGAGAACATTCCCTTTCCCCCTCTCTTCCTCCTTCCGCTCCTTCCGCCGAAAATTCCTAGTACTAGGTACCTCGTGACTCCGGCACTCTGCCTTCTTAGAGAAGTCTAGGTGACGACCCACACTTACTAAGAAATTCCGACTCGTATACGAGTTTCCGCAGACCACCAAGGATCATCGGGGACGCCCTTTGTCTCCTTGCGGTCTGCTCCCAGTCCGAGGATCTCCGTTCATCTTCCCCTGTTTGTCTCCTTCTCTGTCCTTTAGCCATGGGAGCCTCCTCATCCCTCCCTGAAAGTTCACCTCTTGAATGCCTGCTTAAGCATCTGGCTACCCTCTCCCTGACGCCTGATATAAAACCAAAACTTCTCCGTAAATATTGCTCCCAAGATTGGC